GGAGACAACCTCAGATTTTAATTGGTTGCGATTATTTATTTGATTTTATAGATACAGCGAAGACTCGAAATTTCGTAAGCGGATTTCAGCCAATCACTTCTTCTGTTGGGCACATGATCAGTGGAAAGAGTCAGCTTCCGAAACAGGGTTAGTTACCGTAGGAATTTTCTCAGTCAGTTTTTGTTAGTTTTGCCACTAGTAAAGAAGAAAAGGGAAGAGGGGACATTACTAATTACTGGACTCTCGAAACAACAGGATTAACCGAAGAAGAAAACGGTGACGAAAGCGCGAAACGACAGTTTGCTGCATCTGTTAAAAAAGTTGGTGGACGATATTGAGTAGATTGGCCGCGGAAATCAACTGAAGCGAAAGTTCAAAGTAATTTTGGGTTGTGTTTTGGAAGGCTGAAGAAAACTCTAGATCAACTAAGAAAGAAAGGAATGTTGTACATCTGTAACAAGACGCTTGATGAATAGCTTGAAAAGGAAATTATCGAACCAGCAGGTTACAAAGATCCAACAGGAATTGTTCACTATTTGTCTCATCAAGCTGTAATCACTCCTCACAAGAACACAACTAAATTGCGCATAGTTTTCGATGCGCCAGCAAAAAAAGGAGCTGGTAGTAGTCTCAACGACGTCTTGTGCCGAGGGCCAGTGATGCTACCGGAGCTTTGCGGAATTCTTCTTCGGTGGTGGATGATGAAAATAGCAATTACTTGCGACATTGAGAAAGCTCCATCAAATTCGGCTAAATGAAGATGATCGGGATTCCAAAAAATTCCTATGGGTTAAGAATCTGGAAGCGGAGGTAAACAATGAAAATTTAGTTCTATATCGTTTTAAGCGAGTCCCGTTTGGAGTGGTCTCAAGTCCATTTTTGTTAGCCATCACGATCGATAAGCATTTGAAGGATGTTAATACGCCGCTCGCAGCAACAGTTCTGAGAAATTTATATGTGGACAATGTGTTGATTCCGGCAGAATCAATGGAGGAAGCAGTGCAGATCTACAAAGAAACTAAGAAGATATTCGGCGAAGCTGGCATGAATATACGAGAGTTCTTGTCCAACTGCTTGGATTTTAACAACAATATACCAAAAGAAGATAGCAAAGAAGCGGATAATGTGAAAGTATTGGGACTTAACTGGAATACCTATGATGATACTATTAGGATGCAAATGAATTCTGCGATGCCAATTCCGAGTACTAAGCGTCAGCTTTTACAATTTGTAGCAAGGCATTTTGACCCTCTTGGTCTGATCTCACCTGTTCTACTACCGCTTAAAATATTGCTGCAAGAATTGTGGAAAAAACGATGCGGTTGGGACGATTTTCTTGGGCAAGAAGAATTGAATAAGTTGTCTAATATTCTGAAAATGTTTGAAGGAACCAAGCTCACAATCCCAAGAATAGTTTGCACTCAATCGGACACATTCCAGTTGCATGCCTTTGTTGATGCATCAAAAAATACGCTGCCGGAGTTTATATTCGAGTGACTAACAGAAATAGCACCCAGTCGTTTTTGGTGTTTTCAAAATCTCGGCTCTGTCCTGTAAAAGGACAATCCATCCCACGTTTGGAACTATCAGCCGCATTAATTGGATGCAGAGCTCTAAATTTTGTCGTCAGACAGGCACAACAACCTACCGAGTTACACATATGGAGTGATTCCCTGTGTGTTTTGCATTGGATAGAATCAGTTAAACCAAATCCGGAACGATTTGTGGAAAATCGTTTAATAGAAACTCGAAAGTCATCAACTGTCTTTCATTACGTTTCGAGCAGCCACAATCCAGCCGACATAGCAACCAGGTGGATTTTACCACATGATTTGAAAAACGAACAGTTATACTGGACGGGACCGACATGGTTAGCAAAAGAAAAGGTTGAATGGCCGCAGTGGTCACCTTCAAGAAGAACTGAACATCATGAACTGGAAACGAAGATTTTGAGTATTCAGGACAAAGAAGTGAACCTTGGCATACAGAGAGAAGTTGTAGAAATTAAGAAGTATGCTATACATGAACTCTTTGATGTCAATAGATATGGTAGCTGGTACAAATATCTACATGTGATCATATATGTACTGCGTTTTATTAAACTCACTTCAAGCAACAAAGTCGGCAGTACTAAGCAAGTATCATCCAGCGGTGTCATTACACCTGAAGAATCCAAAATTGCGGAAAAGATTGCTTTTCGCGAGGTGCAAAACTCTGTGGAAAATAAAACCGAAGAAAAGGAAAAATGGCAGCTCTGTAAGGATGTGGATGGCATACTGCGATGCCAAGAAAGATTACAAGAGTGTGAGTTGCAGGACCCAATTTACGTGCCAAAAGGGAAAAGAGTAACGAAGCTTATTATATGGGATAGTCAACGTGAGGTTGGCCACACTGACGCATCACATGCCCTCGTGCATCTATGGAAACAGTGCTAGATTCCACAGGGCCGATCAACTGTTAAAAAGGCAATCAAGGATTGTATGTTCTGTAAACGATGGTTAGCAAAGCCATTTTGTTTGCCATTAATGCCGCCCTGTCTGACGACAAGAGTCAATAGCATACACACTCTCCAATACGTTGGACTAGACTATCTAAACCCCATTAATATAAGAGACGGAAATGCAATACAGAAAAGATGGATCTGCTTATTCACTTGTTTGTCAGCTAGAGCAGTACATCTGAAGTTGTCAGCCGAAGCATTTCTCCACTGTTTGCGAAGATTCGTGGCTCGACGGTGTGTTCCGAAGGAAATTATAAGCGATAATGCTTCACAGTTTACATTCGTACAAAAAACGATCGAAAGTTACTGCAGTAAGCAACGAATCAAATGGAAATTTATCACCGAACATGCGCCGTAGCAAGGTGGAATCTATAAACGCCTCATTGGACTGGTTAAGCAATCAATGCCGAAGGCAATTGGAAGG